TTGTGCATCCTGAATCCTTCATACATATTTTTTCAATGTGAAATCTAATTTTTGTAAAATCATGAAGAAGCACTAGAGATTTCAACTGAAAAACTATCTAATCTTAATTGAATGCAGGGTATAACCAAGCGTAAGCAAACATATATTACAACCAAAAAAAAGGGAAAATAATGCAAAAAAGAAAACAAGCATCCAATTATTTGATTATTACAAACTCCATTCCAAATAATAGCAAAGCACATATCACAAAAGAAAAGAAACTAAATTACACAAATAAAAGGAAAATTCCCATCACTAATGGAATTTAAGAAACAAGTACTGCCTTGCCAAACCTTTGCCATGCTGAATTATAAATCTGAGAGCTTCATCTCTCGAATACCCCAATCAATTCTTCAAGCTACTTCCTGCATTTTTTTTAATGCATCCTTCCTTCTAGTGAATCTAGAAAAAAATGAAAAACAAGAATCCAAGTGAAGGGCGAACTTACAATAGGATTCTGAACATTTGAAGAACACATTTTTACAACGCTTGCCACAGTAGTTGCATTCAAAGTAGTCAAAATCTTCCTTCACAAAGGTAAGAGGGTGTGGATGAAAATCATATGTGGAAGTCAACCGAAGCTTCACATATGGGGATCTCCCGAGAACACAAGAGGGATGCACGGAATAGTCGCAAATATCACAGTGATAAAACCAGTGATTTGCGTCTCTTGGTTCCTCACATATCTCACAAAAACATTGATCCACAACAAGATCATCATGATAAGTGAGTGCAAGAGGATGTTCATCATACTTGTGCCAGGTTATACGCGGCAACACAACACAACCATAGCACAAGGCAAAATCACCATCCTTGCATCTAAAACAACCAATTCCAGTTTCACAGCTACTGCAGTTCCTGTCATAGTTGCGGTCATAGAAAAGATGCTGCACTTGTCCTTGAGTTGGGAGGTAGTCAGGAACTTCAAAGCATCTGATGCACACGATTCCATAATTTCTGGTGTAGCCAAACCCACTGCAGAAAAAGTAACACCAGTCACAGAAAAAATGGTGGCTATAATGGAGAGTTAGTGTGGTTTTCAAACGCCAATGTCTTGTCTTTCTTGGTAACTCAGCACAGTGCTTGTGAAGGGAATAATCACATTCAGTA